CACACCAATGCACATGCAATGCAAAGAAACACATAAGTGTAGTCAAAACAAGATATCATGAGTTCGAGTCAAATTCTCTAACTCCCCAGCAGAGTCGCCAGAAACTGTAGACGTCCCCGAACGTCACGGGAGAATCCCGTTTTGTTCATTTGGGCTCACTACAGTTCGGACTCAAATTGTCACAGTTCTTAATCTGATCTCGCAAAGTGCAATGCAAGATTGATAAATCACCAAAGAGTCCAAGTCCGGCAAATCGTTTTGGAAAACAAATTTTTAGAAAGAAGTGCCAAACATGGACTGCTTTCCCAGATACAGAGTCGCCACCTAAATATTTTATTTTGGGGGAATTTAAGAAACCCTGACTCGTGCCTAAGGCCACATGTCCGTCATCGCCAAAGTTGCCTCGGCTCGGGAACTTAGGTACGATTAGGGAAGGTCAGCTATGAGTACCCCCGCTGGGCCGATCAAAGATCGGTCACTACTAAACATGATATCTCGTTTTTGAAAACACATGCGTTCTTCTTCCGATTAATTAGCTAGAATTACTATCTGATGCGTGCAGCGAAACAAGTATGAACTAGATCGCCTAATTTGGAACAAAGCATCGTATATCCGTTTGTTTGGAAAATAATTTGAAGTTTGCGACTCATAAGTAGGCTAAACACACAGATTTCAATGAATTATCCCAATTCAAGCAATCCAACCTTCACCCACAGGAATTTAGGCAGTTATATCACCTAAGCAATTAGCCTCATGGAAAGCATGCTGTCATGTTAACATTTACACTCATGCAAGATGCTAAAGCATAAACACTTACAGTGTACTCCGAGCCAAAACAAAAAACTAGTTAGTAATCATGCATGATCCTAGTTCATGTTAAGATGGCTAATGCAACGCATGCAAAATGCAACTAAGATAGGCTCGGCTATCCTAAGAATGGCATATGTGGTGCGACAATCCAATACACGTATTCAACTTAGAATTGAAATACAATGCAGTTAGCATGATGCCCCGAGCCCAGTGCATGCAATACAGATGAATGATGCAAACATGCTATCATAAGTATGCTAATTGAAACGTGCCTGTAGACATCCCATTTTTGACCGTCCTTAAGACTTGGACGTCATCGTTTGAACACTCGATGATTACCCTTGTTTGTGTTCGTCTTGAGTTCCCGGGAGGTCTCGGCTACGCGCCTTGCCTCAGGATCTCTCGACTCGACTGTTTTGTGTTTGGTTTTGCACCAAACACTTGTGTTTTGCTTTTGAGGGGTAGGGAATGGCTTGTTGGCCATCTCCACACCTCACCGGCCATGGCTTGAGGCCACCGGCCCTGTTTTATTGCCATCGGCCATTAATGATGGCCGACCGGCACTGTTTTTGGTCGACCGGCCTTGTTTCCTTGCCACCGGCCATTGGTGATGGCCGGTCGGCACTATTGATGGTCGGTCGACATTGTGTTTGGTCGGCCGGCCACTGTTTTTGATCAATCGGCCACTTTTTATGGCCGAGACCTTTTCTTGAGGGAACTTGACCCTTTTGAATCTTTTTTTTAGCTTCTTGAGGAAGCTTGAGTCTTTTTAGCTTCTCCAAGAAGCTTGACCCTTTTTTTTAGCTTCTCCAAGAAACTTGACCCTTTTTAGCTTCTCCAAGAAGCTTGACCCTTTTTTAGCTTCTCCAAGAAGCTTGACCATTTTTTTAGCTTCTCCAAGAAGCTTAACCTTTTTTTAACTTCTCTAAGAAGCTTGACCCTTTTTAGCTTCTCCAAGAAGCTTGCACCCTTGTTCCTCTATAAATAGAGAGCCTCTCCTTTCATTTCAAGGGTTCCAAGAAATTTGTCTAAGGCAAAAGACATACACTTCCCTCCATATCTCTACATTTCAAGCTCCAAACTCCATAGTTCTTGGCTCCATTACACACCACCTCCTATCCTAACACCTCCACCATCACTCTAAGGATCTTGGAAGCCATTTTCAAAGGCTAAGGGACTAGTTTTCTGGACCAAGAAGCTGCTGTCCCCTTTTGGCTACAAGGGTAATCTTTTTTTCCTCTTTATTTCCCGTTTTTGCACACACTTTTAGCCTATCTTGCTTACTGTTTTGAGCTTCGTGTATAACATAAAAAAGTTCTATTTTTTTGTGTTTAAGATACTTCATAAAGACCACTTTTGTGTTTGGGGTCGTTTACCCCCTCTTAGGCCTTGTTTGGCCCCATTTTGTGCTATTTTTGGTGAGCTTTGGGACCACCTTGTTTGGGCCTCCTCACCACTGAAATCTTGAGGGATTTCAGT